GTTGTTCTTCTTCTTGTTGTTTTTCTCGTTTGTTTTTGTTGTTTTAATTCATCAATAATATTCATTATTAATTTAAAATCATCTTTATGATAATCTAATATTAATTTAATATATTTTTTAAATTAATTATTTTCATTATAATATTGTATTAATAAAGTTTGATATTGTTTTATTGATTTTTTAATTATTTTCATAGAATACGATGATAATGAACATTTTTGTATTAAATTATTAATATAATTATCATCAATAAGATAATGAAATAATTGATCATTATCATTATCATTATCATTATCATTATTATTATTATTATCGGATTTTATTGATTTTTCATTGATTAAATAATATTGATTTTTTTCATTTGGTTTTACAAAAATTTTTTTTGTTAATTCAGCATTTTTCTTTGAAACCAAAAAAAAAAAGAAAAAAAAACAATAGAGACATATATATTTTTTTTAGGATAATTTATTTTTAATTAGTTAGTCAGCTATAATATAGGACCAGGCACATATATATATATGCATTGGTCCAAGTTACCATACCTTATTAGTACAACAAGATGAACACCGCATTCATTCAGTGGTAGTAATATATAAAAGAAAGACTGCATATAAGTATTCCTGTGTTCTAGAACCTGACGAATGATGAATATGTGATCTATACTATGCATCCACGACTAGGTCTGAAGTTTATGAGTATTAGTTAGACGTCAGATAATTATCGAGACTAGTATTTTAGATGTTTAATAATACTACTAATTATAAAGTATGTTATGTATTTTGGGGGGGGGCATTGTAATGTTGGATTGGTTTTAGTTACATAATTGTGGAAGATTATAAAGCATTGGATAATTCATTTTATTCAAGTAAAAGATTCTTTATCAGTTCATATTTAGGATTGAACTTAGGATTGTTAGGCTTCGTGTGCAAATACTTAACTTTATACCATTAAGTTGCTTTGAAATGCCTTGGTACGGCTGAAAATGGGGAGAGTTAGCTATCCCTCGCGAAATGTTCTCACATAGCCACGTGTATATAGTTACTAAGAGGCAAATCCTATTCACTGCCTCCTCGTGGTGGGGGTGTGGTTTACGAAATTGAGAGGACGAAAAGCAGTGCTTTAACCGGATCGATGAGCTCGGGGTTAAGAAACCCTGATTCCAAATCAATGGTGCACATGGCCTCCAGGATCCTGAAGAAATAAATGGTGTATGGTCCGATTGTTGATCACCGGCTACCATAGTATCGCATCTTCTGACGTTGCTCCACTGATTTGTGGATTAGACCTCTAATAAATCCACCTGCTTCGGTTTCGGCACCCGGGCAGCCCTCATACAAATCAATTGACATGTGTGGCGCATATGTATTTGGTGCCCCTTTGTACTAATATTTATGTATTTGAATAAATAAATACCGTTGAGTTGAACTACAGTGGTTTGCAATCGCAACTTTCATTATTTCGCGGTACTGATTGCTCTTTATCTATTAGCTCTGGTGATATTTGCCTCACCTCTAACATTTTCGAAATCAAATGATTAAATTTTCTCGCTAAAACTCAAAGAACTACCTCTTAAAGTTACTCACTAATGAATACACAATGATTTTTATATTAATAAGTGATTTTGTACGAGTATATCAGTTTGATTATGGTTTACACCATTAACTAACTTCAGTTCCACCACAGTAGGGTACTTATATAGAGGCTTGTATATAATTAGTTGAATTCCTGACAAATTTGTAGATTTTATTGCTTATGTAGTTTCAGAGTTGGAGAAATGGGTTGGCCAGTATTTACTGGTCTAATATCTGATGTTTCATTAAGAAAATCATTTTCAGCTATCTACAAATGACAAACCAGATAGTCAGCTTTACGTAAATGTAGTGCTTCCTAAGAAGCGAAAATATTTAAACCATTACTGGAAATAAAGTAGCGACAAGTAGAATTTACAATGTAGTTCAGGAGCCTTCTTGAAATTTTCATCAATGATAGTAAATGCAATTGAAAATAACCTCAGGACTGCATGGCAAGTACGATACTACTGAAGTAAAGCGTAATAGTTCACACTTATCAGCTTTCGGTCAATCCGTAGTAAATTTATCACAACAACCGCTTGAATTAACTTGACTTTCTATGAACGTCCCTCATATAACCTATACTCCCACTCAAATTAAATGGATTTCTATACGTTAACCGGTTAGCCTTCCATTTACCTACCGGTTTCAGTAGTTTAATATTTCAAAACGCGTTTTAAATGTCCATCTTCTAATATAATCGAACTAATTTTCAGTTATAAATCAATGCAGTAGGGTTTGACACATTAGACGTTTTGACTATGTACTTCACACAAAGTAGAACAGCTGTCTTGTATTTAAATTAATGAAAAACGAAGTGTATACCTATGTTACCTATACTTAACTACTATCGTATGACCCAACACAATACATGTTTATTATATGGGATTCAGTTGGTATTATCAATATATTAAAGAGAAAGATTTTTGTATTTGTGAAAATCACACCGAATGATTTTGGAATAAATCCAACATTCCCTTGAAAAAAAAAGTTTGAACCAGATTATTAGGCGAAAAGTTTCATATCAACTTGGCGTTCAAATACTATGAAACTATTCAATTAAAATTAAGATGAAAGTCAGTCAGCTAAAACGCAGAACCAGGCATATATATGCATCCGTTCCAAGTTGGCATGCCTCATTAGCACAACAAGATGTACACCGAATTCATAGAAGTAGTTAATTCAGTTATGGTAATATATAGAAGAAAGATTGTATATAAGGATATAGTACAGGAAGAAACAATTAGTTCCTAGAAACAATGATATGAAACGATTTTAATCTCATAGTTTAAGGGAAGACAATGAGTATACACATCTACGTCATTGTGATCGATTTCGAGCCATGTCACCAAGAGTCGCCAACCATTGGTTACGATAGTCACCGACTGACCCCAACCAAGTAGTTTGCATCTACCAACATGACTTAAACTAGAAGTTAGTGACTTCAAGCACTGATACCACATTTTGGTTTGGCTGCACCTAACATTCTTCCAACCATCCTCAACACCAGTTAGAATTGCGCATCGTAGTAATCAGTGTTCAGGCATACGCAACACGTGACCTAACCATCTCAGTTGATGAAAATTCACAACTTCATCATCATCATCATCATCATTCTCTAATATCCTACGTCTAACCTCACTAACAGTTACTCAATGATCTTAGTAGTAGATGAAAGTTCTTATTTATTTATTTATTTATTTCTTTATTCAACTTACCATTTCAAGTTTCATTTTTTCATTAATAAGTTCTTCAATTCTATATTTCATATTTTCTATTAATTTGATTAATCCATTACGTTCAATGTGAACATTTTGAATATAATCTAAATCATATTGTAATGAATTGATTAAATTAGATTGTATTTGATTATTTGGTTCATCTATGATTTGATGTTCTAATGTATTCAAATGTAATTGATGATCTGTAGTAAGATGTTGATTCATATGATCAATTAATTGGTTCTTCTCATTAATGATTTCCTATAAATTGTAAATTCAAATATGAATGATTAATAATACTAACTAAATAAATGAAAATCAATTATGTAAACTTAAGAGAATAGTGAAGTTGAATTTCATTCTATTGAATTAATGAGAAAAACCCACACATTAATAGTTAAGATGATGAATCCATTGAAGCTAGACTATCATGATGAACCTGGAAGTACTGAACGATCGTTTCTAGTATAGGACTCTTCAACAGTGCACATCCATGATCCTACCTCTCGACATTTCAACCCAGGATTTATCAGTTTCCTGTGCGAGTGGATAACCTCTAGACCACTGAGCTGCTCGACATCCAATGGTATTAATGTCTAATTTCAACTAATCCACGAAATTGAACGATACATATACCATTGTCTTCAGTGAGATACTATCTCACAAGAGACCCGGTTAAATTCCACTGGTCACTGCTTCTCACTAGAACTCTAGGATATACCTCTTGAAGACCGTCAGTAGTGAACATATATTGATTAATAACAGAAGATGTTTTGTGGAGATGGTAGTAATTTCAATAGTTGAGATCATAAGTCAATTGAAGCTAGACCATTATGAGGAAGCTGGAAATGCTGGATGACCATTTCACTCTATTATGGGACTCCTTAACAGTGCACATCCATGATCTCGCCTAGCGAGATTCTAACCCACGACTTATCAGCTTCGTGCTCAAGTGTTTAACCTCTACAACACTGAGCCGATCGGCATCCAATGGTGTTGACTTATGATTTCAACTATTAAAATTACTATAATATCTACATAACTCATTCTGATATTAAAAAACATTAGTTCAATATAAACTGACAATCTCTCAAGAAAAATATAAATATAGATAGATACTTCAATAGATTTACCCCTAAACATTGTATAGATATGTGATTTCTTTCTAGAATATTCCACAGTAAATTTCTATCAAACAAATAATCACCAAGATTTACTAGACTAAACTATTTAGATCTACTATTTATCATTCATACCAGTTTAAAAGTATTAATCCGCTTAAAAGCTTTTTATCATTTTTAGGAATGATATCATTGTATAAGTTCATTATGCTTTAAAATACTTCAGAAAATATGTACACAAACTAAACATTAACAAACAAAAAAAAACTAATGACCAAAAAGTTAAATTATCAGGATAGTTATAGGTTTATTACTACTATCTCTTTTTAAAGTGAATAGTACTGGGTTCGAGTCCAAGAGTGAACATCAACTCTGAGATGCAGGTATATTCAGATGACCAGACCCAAATAGGATGAAACGCACGTCAAACTGGATTCCACTGCTAGCCACTATCCATCTTTGGTTTTAAAGTTTGTGAATTAAGGCAATATCAAGACAATATGCACAGTATGCACATATACTAATACGACAAGTGTTTCATACTATTTCTTACCTCAATATAAAATTCTTATACATATTTGGTTATTTTTCTGGTGAGCGTTTTTTAAACGAGTTAGTTTTCTACAAGACGGGGTCACTAATCCCATGCTCAGCCCTCCTCCTTTACCCAGGCTCGGAACCGGCAGTAACCCTAGAAGAGCTACAGGCGGACAATCAGTTGAGTGGAACTCGTCACTGTACATCAACTTCATTGATTATGAAAAGGCATTTGACAATGTAGATAGGAAAACGTTATGGAAACTTCTTCGACACTACAGAGTTCCTGAGAGAATTGTCAATATTATCCAGAACTCATACGACGGACTACAGTTCAAAGTAGTGCATGGAGGACAGCTGACAGATTCATTTCAAGTAAGGATCGGAGTGAGACAAGGCTGTCTCTTTCTTCTGGTGGTCGACTGGATTATGAAGACTTCGATATCTGAGGGAAAACACAGCATACAATGGACAGCTCAGAACCAATTAGACGATTTGGACTTCACAGATGACCTAGTCCTCCTATCGCATACACACCAACAAATGCAGATAAAGACAGCCAGCATAGCAGCAGTCTCTGCATCAGTAGGCCTCAACATACACAAAGGGAAAACCAAGGTCCTCAAACACAACACGGAGAACAGCAACCCAATCACTCTTGATGGCGAAACTCTGGAAGATGTAGAATCCTTCACATACCTGGGAAGCATCGTCGATAAACAAGGAGGTTTAGATGCAGACGTAAAGGCGAGCATTGACAAAGCAAAAGCCGCATTCCTTCAATTAAAGAATATATGGAACTCAAAACAACTTTCAACCGATATCAAGGTGAGAATCTTTAATACGAACGTCAAGACAGTTCTACTGTACGGAGCTGAAACTTGGAGAACTACAACAACCACCATCAAGAAGGTACAGGTATTTATTAATAGCTGTCTACGCATGATACTCAACATCCATTGGCCGGATACCATCAGCAACAGCCTTTTGTGGGAGAGAACCAACCAGCTTCCAGCTGAAGAGGAAATTAGGAAAAGACGATGGAAATGGATAGGACATACATTGAGGAAATCATCAAACTGCATTACGAGACAAGCGCTAACTTGGAATCCTGAAGGGAAGTGGAAAAGAGGAAGGTCAAAGAACACATTACGTCGGAAAATAGAAGCAGATATGAAAAAGATGAATAAGAACTGGAAAGTGCTTGAAAGGATTGCCCAGTACAGGGTTGGATGGAGAATGCTGGTGAGCGGCCTATGCTCCTTCACGAGGAGTAACAGGCGTAAGTAAGTAAGTAAGTAAGTAAGTAAGTAAGTAAGTAAGTAAGTAAGTAAGTAAGTAAGTAAGTAAGAAGTTTAACTAGAAACCTTAAGAAAATGAAAAGTTACATGCAGAAGTTCTGATTGACTAATTCCTATATTACTAATATGATTAGTAGCATTTTTAAAATACTATAAAAAAACTATATATTTTCTATAGTAAAATGAATCTTTGATATAAAGTAATTCTCGTATATAGCCTGGAGGGTTATGAGAATAACTTAAGAATCGAATATAGCATTTAATTAGTTAAACTGATCCAATGACATTAGTAAACAAAAATCAATTTATAATATTGATTAGAATGATCATGTAAACTATAGCATCAACTATTTTTTTTAGAATATCGAGTAAAATAACATTCATTTATTTATTTTTATGTATTTTAACACATAAATATTGGTACAAGAGAGCACCAAATATCTATGCGTCACACAAATCTCATTTGATTTGTGTGAGGTCTGGGATACTGCCTGGCTGTACAAACCAAAGCAGGTGGTTTCTTTAGGGGGCCACTTCCCGAGCCATCGACCTGAAGGTCTGATCCACAGGGCAGTGGAGCATCGTAAGGAGATGTAGTCCCATGGTAGCCGGTGACCAAGAAATTGGTTCATACATCATTTGTTCCTTCAGGATACTGGAGCCAGCCCATGTGCACAATTGGTTTGGGATACGGTTATAGCATCGGATATTCGCTTTTCATCCTCTCATTTTCGTAAACAACTTCCCCACCACGAGAAAACAGTGAGTAGAACTTCCCTAGTAGAGGCTATATACGTGTGACTATGTGAGAGCATTTCAAGAGAGGGGGAAAGCACAGCTCACTCTCGGCCATACCAGGGCCTTTGGGGACGATGGAAATGTAAATGACTTTGTTCTATTTATTTGAACGTATAAGTATTTGGTTCAAAGGAGCATCAAATACATATGCTCCACACAAGTCACTTGATTTGTTGGTGGACTGTGATATTGTCCGGGTTTCTAGACCAAAGCCGGTTGTTTTCTTAGAGGGGCCACAATTGTAGCGTTCGATCTAAAGGTCTGATCCATAAAGCAGTGGAGCAACGTCAGGAGATTCAATCCCATGGTAACCGGTGTGACCTATAATTGGTACATACTGGAGTCCATATGCATCAGTGATTTGGAATCAGCGTTTTCCAACTCCCCTAACTGGGATCCTCCATATCCACCTACGCAGTTAAAATGTCGGACATTCGAATTTTCGTTCTCACATTTTCGTAAACAACACCTCCGCCACGAGAAAACAGTGAGTAGAACTTTCCTAGCAGAGGCTATATACGCATGGCCATGTGAGAGTATTTCAATCAGAAGGGCATATCCACCCCACTCTCGACCATACCAGGGTATTTGGGAGCTAAATAACATTCATGTTAGCTACAAATCTATTACATTATTTCAAAAATCATCATCTGACATCATAGAAAAGAAACAATAATCATAAAATCAGAATGAATTTTGTGGAGATTGTAGTAATTTCAATAATTAAGATCATAAGTTAAGTGCTCACAAACAAAACCAGTAGATCCTGAGTTTAAATCTCGTGGAAGGGGATGAGGTCTTAGATATGCTCTACCACCAAAGAGTCCCATAATAGAAACAAAAACAGCCATCTAGTACTTCCAGATTTTCTATGATAACATCTAACTTCAACTGTCTCATGATTTTAACTATTAAAAATAATAATCAACTATTTTACTTACTTCTAATTTTTTAACTTCAATATCATTTCTTTGTTTTAAATTTAATTGTTCATTATTTAATTGATCTAATTCATTTTGTTTTTCTATATTAATTTGATGAATTCTATCATATTGATTTTGTAAATTATTTTTATTATGTATTAATGATTCAATTAATTCATTATCATGTTTACTTTTATTAATTAAAAATAAAATTTGTTGTTTTAATTGTTTTTGTTCATTGAATAAATGATAATTATGTAATTTAATTTTTTGATTATTTTTTTTCATTAAATTAATTTCTTCTTGTAAATAATTTTTATCATTTTGTAATTGATTAATTATAGATATTTTATTTACATGTTGTTCAATAGGATAATTGTATTTAGGGGATTTAGAAGGAACATTATTATGATTATTATGATTATTGTTGTTGTCATGGAGATAATCGATATCAAATAATGTTGCCCCAGAAAATGTTTCATTCACTATATTATTCTTATTGATTGAATCTTCTATAGAAGAAGAACCATTGAATGAAAGTTGTGATTGTAATTTTATAATATGATTTTTTAATGTAATAATTTGTTGTTGTCGACCACGCCATGTATTCTGTGTTGTTTTAGATTTTAATTTTAAATTTGTTAACCAACTATTTATATTTGGTATAATTTCACCAGTTTCTTCCTCAACTACTTTTTTAGCTAATAATAAATTATGATTTAATATTTGAATTTTTTGACGTAATTCTAAAATAATTGATTCCATTTTTTTTAACTTTTTCTCTTGTTCTGCATTCTTTGATAGATTTTCAATTTTTTCATTATTTTTTTTACATAAACTACAAATAATATCTTTGTTTAATGATGAGTTAATGGATTGAGATTCCAATTTTTTAACTATTTGATACAAATTATTACATTTATTTCGTTCACTAACAAGTGTAGCATTTAATTCTCTAATCTTTTTAGACAATTCAATAATTTTAAGTGATGCTGCATCTAGTCCCGAATCATTACAATAAACTTTATGGACTTCATGCATAGTAACACTTTCTGTTTGTTTTAAATTCTCTTCATTACAGTAATCCGGCATTGGTTGTTTTGTTTTTTGTGTGTATTTTATTTTCTATTTGCTTGAGTAATCATTTATAAATTGAATCTTATATGCTTCTAAGTATTGTACTACTGAAAAATCAAAAAAAAAAAAAAGTATGACAAAAATGCATCGTAAAAATTTAAAACGTTAAGTTTATAATCAAAATAGCTAGAAGTAAGGTTTTGATATTTTCATCACCGTTATGTTGACAATCTTTTAATACTGGAACAATTAACTGAAAAAATTCACTTTCGATTTTCTCAACGCCAAACTTAATCCTCATACATTTTAGATGGAATCTGTGTTACAACGCTTACGAGTTCCTTATTTGTAACAGTACGAGGTAAATGAGATCCTTCAGTTGCTTTCTATTAATCATTTAAGACTCACTTCACATTCCTATTCTTCTGCAACATTCTTTTTTACCTTTCTAAGACAAAATGTGCTAATATAAATACATTTAACACTTTTACGATGAATATATTATATATTACAAAGGTATCTTTCAGATGAGCAGACGATTTCGTTTTTATTTATTAACTCCAATTGTGGATGCGTGTAAAACCTCAAAAAAATACTAGGTTGAATCGATTTTTTCGTTAAATAAAATGCTTCTGTATAGATAAGGAAACCATTACTGAAGAAAAGGAAGGATGATATATGTTGAATTTGCTTATTTAGATTCCCATAGCATGTTTTTATTTGAAGGGATATGTGACTGAGAATCTTTTGAATTTCCAAAACCTAAGGCTTTAAAAAACATTCCTACTTATATATTTCTGTGAATAAGACAAAGTGATGTGCACATATAAATAAATCTAAATAGATTATGGCCTTTCAGGTCAATGTTACTCACGAAAAACACATAAGATTCTATAACGTTTCACTCCTATGAGAGCCCCATCATGATCAAAATAGCCCAGACATAACACTTTAGACTGTGTCACTGCTTGCGATGCGCTCGATTCTGATAAGAAGCACCGGTCCCATCAAGGTTGCAGATATGCCTCTCTAAACAGTAAAAAATGGCACAAAACCGATTACCAGGACTTCCTGATGACTACCATGATTTGAACTATCTTAATCTCAGTGAAATTCTAATAAATATAACACGTCAAAGTGTTGATTGAACTCGTGCAACATACGATCGAACAAAAACATTCAATGAAAGTTCAAAAGCACATCAACTGAGTTATTATCACCACCTAGAACTTCTCTCCTGACGTCAGTATTAACTTATCAGCAGCTTCACCTTGTGTCGGATAAGATATCATGACTGAATGAATGACACCAGATACACTGATCTAATTGTTCAGTGAAAATATGCGTTTTCATAAAGCCCACAATACTAAGGTTAATACAACTAAATATATTTGCTATCCTGATGGCTGTAAATTGTAAAGAATTTCTTAAAATATCGAACACTTATGAGGAACCTCCGCAGGTGAGATCAGTGAATTTCTCTTTACACACGCAACTAACTTACCGAAAGAAAAGTACTAAATAGTCAAATGAAATGCAAACTAGTGAAAATCATAAATTCGTGTGATGAGCAAGTAGATCAGTTGACTAAAATCGTCATTAACGGCAATCCCGCGACTAGATGAGTATAATTTCGCTACTCAATTAGCTTTAAACTGACTAATTAAGGTATAAGTCCGATCCATCAAACAATAATTTAAAATCAAAGGCTTCTTCTGTATAAATGTGTTACTAATGATGAGTTTGATATATTCAAACCACGCTGCAAAACCTATTAGTTATAATAAATTATGTGGAGATGTTTAAACAAAAGTTACCTTGAGACAAACATCAATTTCACTTTGTATATACAGATATCTGTATTTAATATGGTCTTGTAGTGGTTAGTAACTTTACGAAGTAAATTATTCCGTAAGTATTCAACAGTGGATTCTGACATCGTTAGTTTTACTGGACACACCTAGCCGAAGACGCTTGACCACGCAACTGTACTATATCATGAGTAAGCACACTGTGCTATGCATCCCATGTGACTGATACATAGCTCACACCAAGCACTTCTCAACACATCGATAGCTTTTCAAACATATATTCGAACCACTTAATTTTTGACACCTGATTTGAATTGTTTGGTATACCTCAATTATAAAGGGTTCACGTGTAAGGGCGTTGTCAAACTCCGAATCATGTGGCATCTTTAGTTGTGAGCACGATGCGATCCGGTACACCGAACAATAAACTGTGAGTCTGTTCCTTATTGGGACATTGTATATCACATTTTTATTCTTACATTTAGTGGTATTGTTTCTATATTTATGATTAAGACTCTCTCGCCTCCCACTTTTCAACTCATACTATTCTGGCCCAACAATATATAAGACTGGTTCAGTATACAGAATCTGACGTACACGAGCACAGTGTGACAGATCACGTGCACAGTTACTCGCTGTAGCAAAGACACTCTCAAACAATGGTAAGAGGTGCATCACGCCTAGTTTTGTTACTGGTGATTTCTATGAGCATTACGACACTTAGAAGAAAACCATTTTAAACGTGGAGACCTGACTGGCCGACAAGTTCTTGATTGAGATCATGAATTGACTGATGCTAGACCACCGTTGGAAACCTGGAAGCACTGGACGGCCGTTTCGTCTTAATATGGGACTACTCAGCAGTGCTCATCCACGATCCCGCCCGCGGGATTCCAACCCAGGGCCTTCAGTCTCATACGCGAACGTTTAACCTGCTCGACCACTGAGCCGGCCGGCATCCAATGGTGTTACTGTCTAACATCAACCAATCCAGTAGGTCCAGTAGGTTGGTTGGAATCCCGCGAGCGGGATCGGAGATGCGCATTCCTGAGGAGTCCCATACTAGGACGAAACGGCCGTCCAGTGCTTCCAGGTTTCCAACGGTGGTCTAACTTCAGTCAATTCATGATCTCAATCAAAAACTCAATAATCTTCACAACCCCAATAATGACCGACAAGTGTTAAACCAATTCTTCCAAAATATCTGGCTCTAAAATGCTCGGTAAAAGAAATGTCGCTACGCATGCGGGGGGCCATCAGTCAAAGGACCTTCTTTGAGGTCCTGTTGAGACGACTTTTCTTGTATCAGCTTCTCCAACAGGTGCAGGTGGTTCTCATCTCATTTCAAAATAACGACGTGGACGAACTGAGTGGATCTGTCTATAGGATTCCAAAGATCGCCAGAACAGAAACCGCCGAGTCTTCTTCCTTAATATAAAAGTCTAAAGTGACACAAAATGACAATAACAACTTCTGTCATACTCTCACACGGTATCTTAAAATTCATTATAATAATAGAAGCTCTCAAACACGTCGACGAAGCTCGTCACGATAAGGATATGTCTTTGAACCACGACAGTTAGATTATTCTGATTAGTGCTAGTACCGCAAAAAGTATGGTAAGTCCTCTTGTAGAAACTCCTGCAGTTTTCCAAGTTCCAAGCCATCCGACACGAAAAATCTTTCAGCAGAGTTCTCACCAGGGTCGTGTTAACGGCAACCGTAGCAGGCAAACATAGCCGTTTGCTGCACATCACTGATGTGATGATAAAAGTTTGCTAACTCGTCGACAAGGCGCCGTTAAAGAAGAGAAGGTTTTCCGGAACGCCTGAACAAATATTTTGAGTAGGGTGCTACCCAACATTTTGTTTTATCTCACTCTTTTGTATTGATGTGTCAATATATATATATATACGTGTGTTTCGCTCTTTAAAAAATTCAAAGACATTCAATGTGAAAAATGTTTTTACACTTCGTCCTACCTCGTCACTAATATCTCCGGGTTTCATCTGGGATAACTATCGAGGGGCACAAAACTATACGTTTATGTCGACATCTTTGACTGACTGGTTATGCAATTGCAGCGTTACTTCTTATTATAAATACCTCTGGACTTTAGTTGCATTCATTCATGACCGTCGATTGCTTGTCGCAGTTCAACCTCCACAAAACGTGAAACTCCTATATTGAACATTAGCCTCACTAACAATTATGTTCTGATGTATAAAAGTTAATCCCCTGTTTCTATAACCACTGTGCCCTATAATATATCAACCTAACTGTGTAAATGATTAAGGTAAAGCTTGAAGCATTTGTGACAATTTGATCTTGAACGTAAACCGGCATGTTTCATGTAACATATTGCTATTTGCGAATATAGTTTATTATTATCGCATATTATCAATAAGCATGTAAACCGGTTTTTTTCTTCGTACGTTTTGTGTCCTGAAGAATGTACTTCAACATGCACCTAAAATTTCATTCTTTTTCTTTTCTGTGTCGCTAGAAAAGATGAAAAATCGACTAATGGAAATTTTCGCCGTACTTTTTTTCATTGCTATATTTTGTCACATGGCCCCTCTTGTTGGGAGAAAACGACCAGATACTGCTGAATATAGCAAGCTGTCAGAAGAGTACTTAACAACGTCAAGCTCGTCGAGAATAAAGTTCTGACAGGTCACGTCTTAGGGTCGTCACTGCCACACCAAGGGATAATTCTTGTAGGACTCCTGAGGATTTGATTGGACAAATTCATCTGGTGGACGGCTCTGAGAATTTTCCATAGGATTCCCAGGGGTGTTCAGAATGTGAAGCCAGTTCGTGTTTTTAATATCTTAATCCACTACATAGAGCTTAACTTCAGTGTAGTACACAACATACCAAGCCAAATATCATATACTGAGATATTTAACCCTAAGTTTCCTAATCTCTCTCCACTTACTGATAATCCTTATCTGGTTACTGAGTTGGACTTTAAAGCAGATTTCAGTTCGCCTGAAAATATGATATAATATGCTCGTTGGAAGTTCCACAGATAAGCACAAGCTTAGACTACATTTTTCCTAACCAAGCAATTAAATTTTAAGACTTGAGGATTTCATAATCTCTCATTCGAAATGGTAACATCTTATCACTCAATACTTCCATAAATGAACAATCATCCGAATATATCTGCAGTTTCGGTAAAATTAAATCTATGAGAACATTACTGCTTGTGTAATACTGACCCATAGACGTGGAAGAGCAATTGCATCCTTTTGAGAACATAACCATCCTGTTAGTCGATTGAGATGATTCTCCCCAGACAGTAATGCGCGGCGTCTCTGAGATTCTTCTTCTGGTTGAAGGTTAGTATCCCTATTGAGGTCAGGGATTAGAATGCCTCCTGGACTAAATGTCATCCCCCTAACTGTGCAGATGACTAATTATACCTCATGAACTGTAGACAAAAATTAAATGGCGCAGATGAATTTATCAGTCTCGGTTGAACAGACCTGCTAAACTTTGTGGTGAGATTATACATAATATCACGTGGAAAAAGGGGTCTCGTTCCAGAATTCACCTTTAATAATCAGGTTACTGGTCCGTTCACATCATAGTCTACCAAACAACATTCTTAACTAAGGGTTTCCACGGCCATCTGGGAGATAAACTGTGTACTATTGGTTGTCAATGAACAAGAAACCGAATAATGTCTCACTTTTAGGCACTATAAATCTGTTTCTTTCTGAACGCTATCTCGTCTAATGTAATCACAGCCCTTTCAAAAGGGCTTCGATGAACAGCTAAACAATAATATATATCCATGGACTGCAACGATGACTGACGGTATGCGATAAGACACTACTACATTCGTCTTCCCGTCTTCATCCCTGACATCGTTTCCTTCTTTCCTACTCATTCATCGTTATTGTTCCATCTGTAGAATCCAATGCCGTTGTACCCAGCAGGTTTAAACTAATATATCTGTTTGCGATGACGTCTTGGTGCTAAGAGACGGTTTTTTATCTTTGATATCCCGAAATCAAGCTAGCTCCCTGCTCAGCTGATGTAGTCCCAGTAATCTTATGACATAACTTGGTTGATAAGTTGATTGATATAATTGGATTATGAGTGAGTTTGTAGCGGGGTATGGGAATTACACTGACCGGCAGTTATCGCATTGGTGAGGCAGTGTTTGATTGATCGTAAGTCGTGAACAATTCTAAGAATAATGTTATTGGAAAATTCGTACTGTTTTATTGTACACCACCCGGCCCCACCTGCAAAACAACTGTTTCAGTTCACCGTTACAAACATTCATTCATAAACGACAAGTGTTTACTCGATGTGGACTGCCTTAATTTGGTGAATATTTGTGCGCCAGATGGGCACTATAGGTGGTTTTTCGTCGTCAACCTCAAATCCATGGTGGGAAGTCAGTTATGCTATTTGTAGGGTCGACCTCTGCTAACCCCTTCCTTTTAATATGGGGAGGTAGTATCGCAGCAAATTAAGGCTGTGTTAGGGAAACTTCTTCCTGCCGCCACACTCTGAAACACTCAGCAATATGATCATGCTGTCAAAACTC